GCCTAAACTAATGAATCTATTTGTGTGAAATTTGATACAGACATAGTTTGGAACTATCCTTTGTCATTTCTCGAGCAAAGGACATAGGGCAGTTTGTAAACCAAAAATCTGCAGGAAGTCCCCATTCCACGTGAATAAAGACGCGGGCAAAAGCTGGTGTATTAAAAAAAAATACAATTTACGTGAATAGTAAGTGAGTGTGCATCTATAGTATCAATACTATGACATCCTATGCAAATATGAAAACATTAATTAATTAAACATGAAAAGAAATATGGATATTGGATATAAAATAAAACTTTTTGTATGTACTATTTTATTGTTTATAGCAACAACTAAAGGAAAAAATAACTCCACGGTTGACGCGAACAACTCTTTGTATGATCCACAAATTGTTGTTACTTCTCTAGGTGTGCCGTGAATGTGAAATTGTATGTTTGTAAACGCACGACACAGGACAACATCCTATTGCGGGGCTATGTTTTATTAAAAAAGAAACAAAAAACTCACTACCGACCTCAATAGTAAGCGACGCAAAGGGTCCCCTTTTATTAACTAAATTAATTACCCGCAACGTAAACAGTATGTCTAGTTTGTCCCCTAATCTGATTAGAATTCTTTTCTTTGAATCTCAACTATCTATGTCACGCAATCACTAAGTTCTGTTGTCTCTCTGTATTAGTAGTGAAGTTAATTGAATGAAAGACTATATTAACAAGATTTCTGTAAACTGATAATGTTTAAAACGAATTAACTATTAGTCTTACTTCCTTTTGTATTTATTTGTAGTTATTCTTTTATTCAAAACTAGCGACCCGGTGCCGCACGCGTTCGTTGCTTATACCATTTTTCTCCACTATTTAATTTATGTTATTTTCTGTACTATGTAATGGATGTTAATATACATACCTATTATTAACATTCTTCTCCAATCACTCTGAATAAAACACCGCATCAAAACCCGTTGCGTAGTTTTAAAGATATAAGCTGACATAGAGAAATAAGGATAGATAAATCAACCTAGTTTTATACTTTGTAGTGATGTTTCTCACGTAAGTTGTATCCTTGTCCAACTATTTCCATTGCGACTACTATTGAATTTAGGTGTACATATAAGTTTTTTGTTTATTGAGACTATACCGTCTTAGCTAAGCTACCAAATACAGTCTCAGCATAAAATCATTGATTGTTCAACTCTCAACAATTGCTAACCACTATAGATATAATTAAATGGTTTCATTCTATATACGAGGTTATAAATGTATTTAGCTTATCGACTAATACATATTATGTGACTGTGTTTATTAAATATATACTTAACGATTGCATTAACGTTGCATAATAATTATCATTATGTACGGGTATAGAATAAATAATAGAGTATTATAAGTACTTATTATTATTTATAGATTCTATGATATTGTTAAAATACTCATTGTTAAGCACTGGGCGACGTATGCCTGCATAAAGCTATCATGAACTTGGCATACCTCAGTACAAGTATCAAAATAAGCTGAGTTACTAAACCCGTTTTAACAGCACACAAAAATAATCCGATAGAGGTTATTTTCATATTTATTTTTCTGAAAAAAAAAGAGATTTAAATCTTAACACATCTAAAAGAGTTCCAAAATAACTTTCACTCGGTCACACTTATAAAAATCGCAATCATAAAGCGAATTTAAATCTTTTACATTCAAAGGGACTTCTTGAAATTTTTCCATCCACAAAAAGGAATCTTTATCTAAACAGTAAGATTAAAATCACTAGGGTTTGTTTGAGGGATCTCGTTTAAGGCGCTTTGAGGGCAGGCCTGGGGCGGCAGCAATGATAAATTGCAACTGGCTTGATGTTTCTGACACTTTTTTTTTCATAGTACGACCTTTTACCGGCCCTTTATTTCGCTTATCATGTGACACGGACGAATAAGTTTGTTAAAGAGCTGACAAATAGTAATTTGCGAGCAACCGGCCGGATCATGACTCGGTGGCCGTATTGAGATGAAGATTTTGGTAACTCATGTTGTATTGAAATTGTATAATTATAAAAATAAATTCGAATTCATTTAATTATGTTGTATGATCGAAGCCAACCTAACTGTACATTCTACGGAACCAAAATTTTAATTAATTTTATTTATATTTTATTTGAATTGAATTCTGCATATCTGACGCGTGTGCAGACAAAACCTTTATGATAATAATAATTAATTCAAGTAGAATTAAATTGATTCAGATGTTATTGGTAAAATAGCAATCGAAACACCTTTAAAAGACGTTTTAATAATAACTATCGTGAGACATACTTAAAGAAAAGCTCTACTAGTAGTACTAGTAGTAAACTAGTAGAGTTTTCTTAATTACACACGTGAGTAACCTTTAAGTTAACCTTTAATGACTTCTAAAGATAATAGCATTTTTCATTTAAGCAACAAAAAACAATTATAAATCCCAAAGACGATTATGAAGCAAATACAAAGATACTAGAGAAATACTATAGCGTAAACATAGTTATTAATATAGCTTAGAACTTCTTTCACATTATTTGTGTGACGCAATTATCTGCACCAATATTTTCCATTAGGATTGTGCATACAAGCGTGAAACCCCATATTTCTTACCCCATTTCTTGAAGGTAAGGGGCATTCTTCCCCTTATAAATGCATTTTGACAAGAATACAAACTTATGAACTCATTGCCCTGTCAAAGCATCATAGATGTAAAGGTATGTATAGAAGCATGCCACGACAAAATGTTCCTTATTTTTTGGAAGGTGTGAGTGGAATTAAATCAAGTTAAGTATCGTAAGGTACATCGAGTCTAGGTAAGTTTTGTGTCTGCATTATTTTTTTAAATTATTGTTTTTTTTTGTCATGAGATATACTAGTAATTGAGCGTACCGATCATATTATGATGGACACAACTGGAATAACTAGGAACATTAGCTTTTGTTATAAGTATGTATATGAATTTGGGGTTTAAGGATAGGTAGAGTTTGACGATAAACCTACAGTAACCTCACTCACATGGCTATGGTGGTTTTATGCTTGTGTTTCATCGTACCCCATCGACACCCGCAACGCTAAAGGAATTACGAGTGCTTTGCTGGCCTTTTAGGGATAAGGGTTTGGGGAGGGATTATTAGGGTTGGGGATTGTGGAAAGATTGGGCCTCAAGAGTATTTCAAAATATTTTGAATCTGTTTTACACTGATACCTTATGCCTGATTGCTACACTGATTCCTACGGTACACCACTGACACGAGGTTAAGTAAAACATTAGGTGGAAATCTAATCTTAAAATTTCAAATTATACCTACATTTGAAATCGTCAAGCCATCTTCAAAAAAGGATGGTGGTTAATGCTCAATTTTTCTCCGTGCGAGAAGAGGCCTTTGCATAGAAGAGGGAATGTATATACATACTATGCAACTGATGCAAATGGTAAATTCATTATCAAAAAATATATTTATATTTATGACACAAGCTTGGAATATTTTGGATGTACTTATGTGTATATCATTATTTACATGACATTATCATTATTCGACGAAAATTGTCATTGAATGATCTCGCATAGCACTTGAACAGGATTGGATAAGAGCCTTGTTATTTTCCAATGTATGTAGCGTGATAAATTTATTTTTATTGGCTTGAAGAACCGCAATAGCCGAATTATATGCAATTTCTCGATTTGTAACAATTTTTTTTTTTTTTTATTTAATAAGTCGGCCAACGAGCAGACGTATTACTTGATGGTAAGCAATCAGCGCCGCCCATGGACACTCGCAACGGAGGAGTTACGAGTGCGTTGCCGACCTTTTAGGGATTAGGGATTTGGAGATTTAGGGATTTAGGAGGGATTGGGGGAGGGGAAGGATTGGGCCTCCGGTAACCTCACTCACACGGCGAAACACAACGCTGTGGTTATTTCACGCCGGTTTTCTGTGAGGCCGAGGTATCACTCCGGTCGAGCCGACCCATTCGTGCCGAAGCATGGCTCTCCCACAGTTAAAATATAACAACAAATAGCATTGGTTATACAGATATTTAAACTTGCAGTGAGGTAAAGTATGGAACTATGTATGTTTGACCAATACGTTGGACAAGGAATGTTGTTGAATATTTTAATACAACCTCTTCGAACCAAACATCACATTATCAGCCTATGAGTGCCCACTGCTGAGCTAATGCCCCTTCTGACACTGGTCAAGGCGTATTAGCGATTCCAAATTACGATTTGAATTTATAAGTCCAGATTTCCTCACGATGTCTTCCTTTACCGTCTGTCAGTGATGTCCCAATAATTTAAGATAATACATAACTCGAGAGTCACATTGGTACTTATCGAATTTTCAACCTTTTCGCTCTTCTATGACAAGTGAGCGCTTAACCTACTGGATACTATGACGAACTTCTTATTCGATGTTTAAAAAAATAAACTGAACTGAAATGATCCAATTAGTTTTTTCACTAAGCTAAGTGATAACGATATTGTCCTAAGGTCAAACAAACATAGTTATGTAGCTATTTATGTCTGTCTAAAAATTTGTTCAACTTCAATGATTTTTCAGATTTTTGTTCACTTCAGATAAGATGTAGTTTTTTAATATATTTTTCCTTATTTCATAACATTGTGTAATATTATTATTGTGTCGTTAATGTTTTTCATACAACCGTCATTTCTAAATCTGTTTCATGTATTATAATTAACAGAAATATACATATACAAATCCGAGACTTCGCAGCAGTCACATTCAAATCTAATAATTGATGAAACAATTGCCAATAACTTGCAAATACGATTAAATGTGTTTTTGAAGGTCGTTGTCGACATAATTATAAATAAACTTGACCTTGAAATAACAATGCAAATAGAAACCAAACATTAAACATTCTACATAATAAACTAAAATAAAATAAATAACGACAATAAAAATAAAAACAAAATAAGAACAAGCAATATTTGAAAAGAGAATACCAAATAAAAAAAAGTACTCACAACAAGACATTTTTAAATTGAGAATGACAGCCGTTCACTTTGATGATAGTTGAACAACTAGTACAAGTATACAAACAACACGTGATGATAACTGCGCCATGTTCTCGTCTCTTTCTTTCTCCTTGAAAAACTTGAATAAGATGCACCGGTTACGATACCAATGATTCAACACAAGCGCAAATGGAAATCAAAATATTCTACGGAGACATTGAACTTGACTTATTCAATCTGATATCAGTATTTGTTGATTTTGTATATTAAAAACGTTGTAATATAAGGTTATTTTAAGGCCGGTGGTGTAAATTTTATGCAGCGGTAATAATGATACAACATTTCTGATAAATACCTACAACAGCAGCGTTAGACAAAGTAAAATAAGTAAGTAAATATTTTTTGTTAAAATCAAATTCAATTATGGAAATTCGACCGTCGTTTTTCCCTACGACATACGTCAAAAAATCTGTATTGTCATGCTCTATACGTAATACAAATATGTATACAATTATATATGTATATATAAATAAAATTGTTGTTTTCATTATTATTACTATGAGATAGGTATCTTAGTGAAAGTGAAAGCATCTTAAAAATCTATCTACCGTTCCCCGTCATAACTGTTGATAGTTTTCTGTATACGATACTAAAATTTAATAAGTACTTACTCTATCGGTATATTAAAAAATCTAAATTTTCTACAAATAATGTAAACGTCAAATATCATAAATAATTTTAGTAAAAAATAAATAAAATTATGAGAAAATAGTGATAATTTTTTTATCTTATCGTCTTAAAAATTTAAAACTATTTTGTTATTTAAGACATTACGCAATTGTGGTCTCTATATCCTATACTTAAGTCTAGTTTTTCTATAAAATGCGATGCATTGAAAATCATCAAGATTCGCACAGCGTTGTAACGTAACCTATATGTACATACAGAAGTACTATTTGTGAATATATATGTATATAAATGTCTGAAGGTTACACAACTAATACTGTCTCAAGGACCTTTACTGGTATCATGGCAAATTGATTCTTATATTTATAATTCTGTAAGTTCTACGCAAAATTTTCAAAATTGTGTGTCATAAGATATATTCTTTAAAATAAAAAAATGGCATTTTCAGAAACAAAAAAAAAAAACATTTAATTGACTTTGTGCTTACAATAATGAATATTATAACATCTGTAACTGCCATTTCATCTAGCCATGTTAGTTATAATTTTATGTTTAATAAAAAAAAAAAACACACAAATGCAGTTAGTATAACGATTGTCATCGTTAATCATTTAAAATAATGATTACGTGTTAATAGAAAGATATACAATAAACATATTATTCAGTTTTGGAGGCAGTTCGATTATATAGTGAAATAATACATATAGTATATTCTAATAAAAAACTTTGAGGATCATATTTTATATCATGATCATTTTATCAATTTATTTAATTTTATTTTGCTATAAAATTAACGAGAACGCGTGATCAATGGTTATATTATCTCAGTCGATCCCATTTTGCGAAAACACCGGTTTAAAACAACCAATAAAGGGAAACAAAATTTTACTCCATCAATTAATCTTGTCAAAATAAAATTAGCTTCGTCAGCCCGCCCGCCCACGGAAAACATTCGAATTTTCTTTTTTATCTCGAACAAAATCATCAAGAACACCATTAATCAAGATACCTGAGCCGAACGTAAGATGGAACGGAATCGTCCTACGAGCAAAATGTGAGCAATAATATAATTCTGAGAGCGTACCGTCGTTAAGAACCTGCAAGGCGAAGATGTAGCTCCACAAAATAAAATGCTACATGAAGAAATAAGACAGACACATCGTACATACGTGCTCTGTGATACAAACAGCTTGCACTCCGCTTCCAATCGCACTTCGAACGAACACAATACGACTTAAAATACGCTTATTGTCAGTTCAGAATTTAAAAAGTCTCCCACGTAACTTGTATACGAATGTCTATCAGTAAACTTAGCAACTATCGATGCATTTATTTTCTTCTACGCAATAAAACTTTTCTCCGTCCCGCCTTTCTATTATGTGTATGGGTATTACTGTCCTGCATTATCCGCCTCAAACTCGCGTGCTGGTGGAATTCATGTCGGATTGAAATATGTCTGCTTATATTCTTGAACAGAATATGCCACAAAGCTTTGTCCTTGTTCTTCCACAATAAATCTGCAGTCTTCTCCTTAATCCTACGCATATTTTCCTCCAGTCTCCTAGCTTTTATTTCCATTTGTATGAGGGAACGGGTCGTATTTGTCAAAAGGCGGTACAGGTATTCTTTTCTTCGCGTTTTCCTCGGCTCCGTTACGCTCGTATTTATCATAGACTCGTATTCAGTACTGTCCTCGAGCTCTTGAATATCGTCCAAACTTGTGATTTGTGTGTCCTTATTTTTGGTGCGGAGAAAAACGCCGGTGAGTAAAATTGCGAGAACGAAACTCAATAGCATAAGGAGACGAGCATGGTTGTAAAGAGGTTTGGCTATGAAATTCATGACAGTAAGTTGTAGGTGGTCGATCTCATAATAAACACGTCACGTTGCATCGGGATGCATGTTTTGTTTGTGTGCGAGCGTCGGGGTTGTGTTTCGAGCAACAAGTCACGTGGTCGGGACGAGAGCGCAGACAGCGCCCTCTCGCGGCGTCGGCGAAAACGGCACTGGCTGGAGTGAAAACACGACGGTGCGTCGCACCCCACGAATTTCCCCAATGACTTTTCCTCTTGGATGTGGGAAAGGGCGTTTTATTTGGATGTGACAGCTCTACTTAAACACTTTGCGACGCGGGTCGGATCGTGTAATTAAACCGCAATGTTGTATGACAGCGATTAAACTGTCATTTTCGATGTCTGAAAACCGAGCGAGTGAAAATTAAATTGTTTTTGGTATTTATTATTATTAGGGACAACAACATGGCCGTTTATTAGAAGACGTGGAATAATTATTCGTTCGTTTCAATCGGAAACTTTTTATTTTATGTTTTAATGTGAATTTTATCGTTGTGAATTATTGTTGGTTGAGGAAAGTTTTCGGTGGAAATTAGTGCCTTGAACGTTTTTATTGTAAAAGTTTGTAAGTTTGTTCTTTCAGAACTCAATGTTCGCAAGGCTCAAGGTGCGTAAGTAATGGAGGGGGGAACCGCAAAGGTTCACCTACTACAAAATGAAGCGGACATATTTCCACGTCACTATCTTACTATCTCAGACGATTTATGTCGAACCCAAACGTAATATACTTATGACTTGTTCGGTTACCTATGTGTTTATAATATTTCATATCGTTTAGTGATGTAAGTTCATGTAGGTATCATGCGAAAAATAATATATTACGTTATTTCAGTACATATTATTGTAGATCTTCTTTTAATAGCACGTCATGATGACACATCATCATTTTTATTTTTATCTAAAACCTTTTGTGTGACTTATTAGTTATTTTTTCGATACCCCCCTATTAAGGACATGGAGAATAGTTATGTAAGCAATTAGGTATTTACTCGTACATATATTTTATCCTTAATATAAGTTATTGTTTATTACAAATACTTTTTACTTTTTTAGCAATACATTCAAGCGAGTGTAATTACATAATAGATAATGCGATTCCTTCATCAAAGATGTATGCTTTTATTTTGTATTACTTTGTGCCCTTAAAATTGTATAGAAACGGACTTAATATCTTGAGCATTTTTATCAGACAACTTTTAAATAAGCGACTGTCAGACTCTTTCTGACTAACACCACCACATTCCTTGAGAAGGTCGGGGCCGCGGTATGTTCATTATTGGCAGGTTAGGCGATTAGGAGCTAAAGTCACCTTCTGGGGGAGGAAATATTGGGCCAAAAATCCCCTTAGAGAAGAAATATTTCTAAAATAGAATTATTACTTACTAGCTAGTATCGCGAGGTTTCGCCCACTGCTCGGCTCCATTTGATTGCATCGTGATGTTTTATAACCTATAGCACCCAGGAACATTGTAGCTATCTTTCAGTGAAAGAATTTTGGGAATCCGACCAGGGGTTCCAAAGATTACCCCGTACATACAAACTTACAAATTTTGCCTCTTTATAATATTAGTATACATATATTAATATACATATTTGGTTACTTAAAACTAATATAAACGCAACACAAGTACTAAGTAACTACTACAGAATTATCTTTCTCTACAATATACCTCTAACAGTTGAATAAAACCTTCGCCCCAGGTAATATTTTCTTTAATATCTCTAGTTTTATTGTTTTACAGTCGGGTCGGAGTTTAAAGCTCCTGTCGATATCGTTCGAACATTGTTTTACTCTAGTAATATCACATTGTTGGCAGGCGTTATCTGTTTAAGCAAATTAGAACCCTATTCCTTAAATGTACAATTCACTTTTGAGTCAAAATCTAATTGGTAGTAGCTACAAAATGAATGGTATTGATACTCGTAAATACTTAAACTATTTGATGTTGAAATTAAAGGTATTGATCGAAACAAAATTGAACTCTGAAAAATGTTCGCTAGCTTCTGTTAGCAGCCAGTTCTGGGGTAAAGAGCCTATGTGACATTCCATAATCTATCTCTGTGCATACATATAACCATGCTTGGGCAGAAAATGCGTCTGCTTTACCGGAGTCATATCACAGCCTTACAGAATCCCGGTATCAAAAAACGCTTACGTTAGATTTTGCTCCTTGAGTTATATGTATCTCCAAAAAGGCCTGCAAGGCATTTGTAACTCCTCAATGGTGCATATGGACAGCGTTGATTGCATCACAAATGACGCGTTTACTCATTTGCCGACCTTTCACATAAAAAAGGTCCGTTCATTAGTTTTTGCGTTGTGATCTGTAAGTTCAGCAAGCTGTTTTGAAATTGCGATATAAAAGGATCAGAGAACGGTAATGACTTCTAAATAGTGATGTGCGGTCTATAAGTCGACCCAGAAGAAGAATAGGAGTAGTTGTAAAATGTATTCTACCCATTTTTTGAGAGGGAGAAAACATGGAAGATTCCGTTTGATGATTTGGGTGTGGTGAAA